GGTAAAGGTAGGGACGTTCTGCGTCCAAAAAATGAAACGTAAGGATGTTTTCCACAAAAATCGTCAAACGTAGGAACGTTTTGCGCCAATTACTCTTTTTTAAAAATAACGACCATCAAACGAGAGCTAGTTATGATTTTTTATATTCTTTTATTGGTGGAAAGTGAAAATTTTTGATTTCAAACTTTAACTAGTCAACAAGTGACGTGATTCAATAAATGTGGTTTGAAAAATTATTTACGAGAAAATATATAGTTAAAAATGAGTTTTTAAAAATTATTCTTTTTAAAAATGGGGGTGAACATAGACTTAGCACTTGTTTGAGGCCCATTATTTGGGAATAATGCATTTTTGAATAGTATATTGATAAAAATGTGGTTAAAAAATAAGAAATTTTTTTGAATTTGTGTGTAATATTATTTTATTGAAAAATACGTGATTGAAAAGAAAAGAGAGAAAAATATATTTTCGAACAAGAACTTAATCTTTAACTTCATATTTTCAAAAGGTGCATGTTGTTAAACTCGGATCTTGAAGCTTTTCAAAGATATACGTGAATTGTCGATAAGAATAATTAATAATATCTCTTGTGGAATATGACTTGTTGAATACATCATTGAAAGAAATTAACATGACGATTTTGTGAGAGTCGAAACTACTCAAGATCCATCTGATAATGATTCAATTTTCGTTATTATTTCTTGTAGAAAAGTTTTCTTGAAAACTACTTTAATTAGTATTTGGACACTAAATTCTAAATGAGCTTTTTCTTTCAAAATAACTTTTACACGAAATTATACTGAATCAACTTTTTTACATGTTTTTTTTTAAACTAAAAGAATCACTTTTACAAATTAAATAATGCAGGACTAAATTTTATTTTATTTAAGAGTAGAGTAGAGTAATTGAAGGGCTGGGGGGCTGTGGACGAAATTGCAGTGGTGATGGTTCATATTCTGACGCGTGAAGATTTTTATAAGCACAGCGTGTACCAGACGCATGGTCTTGTCCACATTTTTTAATGATGGCGTATAGATAGATATATCTAAAAACGAGAGAGAGATAAAAAGAGGAGTAAAGTGACTTTAGCCGAAAATGGTGGACACCTCGGATGATCGATCCTTACATTACGCGTTGGTTCCGTGTAAATAAAATAATGTCAGACCTCGTGTGTGTTCGGTCATCCAAGGTAATGATTTTTACCTCCGTCCCTCAAATATTGACTTATTTCTATTTTTTATATAGATTAAGAAAATATAATTAATAAAGTTAAAAATGTAAAATTTTCTCACATCTTTTAATATAATCATACATTAAATAATTATTTAAATAAGATTAGTTTATATTTGTTTATAACAAACATTGTACATTAAATACGGGTATATTAGAAAACTTAAAAATATTTATACTTTTAATAAGAAAAGTGGTCTATAATTTCGAACATGTGAAATAGAAAATCAAATCTTTCTTTAAGAAACGGAGGTAGCAATATTTTAAAATGTCATCCGAGATATTTACTGGGGAAAAAAGTAAATTGTTATGGTCAACCGAAAACTAAAAACAGTTAAATAAATAAATTGTGGTGGATAAAAATTAAGCCATTGTTTGAGCTTCAATTTTGTTTAAAAAAAAAAAAACTTATTTTTGAATAGTAATTTTTTGAAAAATGTGTTGTTAAAAAATAAGTAAATTTTTTTTATTTACGTATAACATTATTTTATGAAAAAATGTA